ATAAGGAATACAAGTGGTGACCAGTCAACTAGTAGCAATTCAGTGGGGAACTTTATGCCACTGCATTTATGTGGTGTTGGTAACCAACAGGATTCTGGCTGGCAAGTAACCAAGGTGTAAAATTTAGCATTAGAACAATATATTTATTTTTATGGAAAATTCAATAAATTCCTCCCCAGTCATGATCCAGTTATGTTTTGATTGTTACCAAAATAAGCCATCTCCCTCCTCCCTATAAATTTGATTTCATACCAACAGGAGTCTCAACACAGGACAATAGTGGCTGTTTCGTTGCACACGTGAAAAATACGTGAAACTGACAGTGTGAAGCTTTCTGTCGATTTTGGTTTTAAAGAAGAACATTGCACTCATGCCATCAACTAAAATAGTGTTGCATGGGACCAGCCCACCCTGTAAACCTAGACTGAAAGGGACATATTTAATTTGCCCCATGGCCTTGTCGGGCCTGAGTGATGTTATCACATTGAGGAGGTAAAAGACTTTGAAGGTAGAGCCATGATTCAAAATGAAAGTGACACTCAAGGCACACCTACAAAATCTGTCCCTACAACAAATATATGAACTCTACCCTTCCCTACCAACTTCTTATTCTCTCTCTCTCCTGTGAACACGTACACACACACACACGCACGCACACGCACACCCCCTCTGAAAAATGAGGGATGTTTTAATTACTCTTTCAGAAAACTCTCCAGTTTATCCATTGCAGGGTTATAGAGGCTAAGGAATAGCAAAGGGGCCTACACAGGAAGCTAAATGTTTGCTGACCTTCCAAGGACATTGGAAAAGGCCACATCTACAGTACTTGATTTAGAGATTACAAAAATAAAACAACTCTGAACTGATATGTTAGATGAATTGAGGCACCAACAGAAACCTTGGAGCAAGGGCATGTAGCCCTTTTGAGGCCTGATGAGTTTTCCATAAACTTGCCAGTGATTCCAATAAATCATCAATAACAACAATACCCACATCTTTAAACAAAGAAAAAAATATTTACAAAGAAACCTGTGCTCTCCCAAACAGTACCTGTAAAATGCTTAGATTATGTACAATACCCAATTTAATTGTACACATCTATATCTGGATTTTCTAGGAGGTGGCTTAGAGCAGTGGTTCTTAACCTTTGTTACTTGGATGTTTTTGAACTGCAACTCCCAGAAACCCCAGCCAGCACAGTTGGTGGTGAAGGCTTCTGGGAGTTGCAGTCCAAAACTCCTGAGTAACCCAAGGTTAAGAACCAGTGGCTTAGAGTGTGCCAGATAGATTCTGATTAGCAGCTGAAATCCAGTTGATATTTGAAATGTAGTATTATAGTCAGCAGCATAGTCCTCCTGGCCAATTTGTGTACATAAACATGCAAAATATGCGTGAAACTCATTTTCATGAAACGAACAACTACAGTAATAAGGTCTGAGGTGATGAACTGGGATCTTCTAAAATCAAACCCAGCAAGAGTTTATGTCTCTCATGGAATCAATGGAGGTACAAAATCAGCAAGCCCACTGCTGCAAAGGACCTTTGGACAGTACAAGAAGGCATAGCTCGTGCCATAACCTTAATTTACAGAAGTGATTCCAGGGGACTTAGTTTATTCCCCTATGCATTCTCATGTTAAAATTGGAACAGTGGAGCTCACTGAATTTGGCATGGTTCATTAACAAAGCCAAGTCTCCCTTCCTTCTGGCAAGTAATTTTTTTTTAAAAAAGTAAAATTTTAAGAGATCTGTTTAAGAACAAGGAGGATAATTACTGAAATGAAAGAGGTCTGCCAACTGAATACGTGATGAAATTCATAGGCATTTTGACTTTCCAGTTGTGCAGTAACTTTGTGAAATAGAAAAGGCGGCCAGTTTTTAGTTTAGGCTTTAGTTTAAGTTCTTTTTAGAAAAAAGACCATTTACAGCATAGTACACTATTCACAAGACTGCAGCCCATGCCTTTCAAAAGTGTTTCCTTTTTAACGTCTTAAAACATGAGTGTTTCTATCTATCTATATATTATACAAAACAAAGAGGCTATACTTTTCATCGCCACCTTCTTAAGTTAAAAAACAGTTTGGGGAAGTTTTCAAACAGTAAAGAAAGATGCCCCCAAAGCCTAGATGAAAGCCCTGAATCTCAGGAGAATTTGGAAAAATTACTTTTTCTATTATACCTTTTAGAATTCCCCAGCCAAAAAAAAAAAAAAAAAACTTTCCAAAACACTGATCTTGGGCCATTAAAGTAATGAATATTATCCAGTTATTTCCAATGGCAAAAGATCAAGCTGAAACTTCACCAGACATCTCCCCTTTCAAAAGTCTCCTCATTCTGAAACACTGAGCATGAAGGTGCCACAAAGAAAAGAGATTACCTGAGAATTGTGCAATTAATCTTCATGTTTCAGGTATGTTTGAGAATGCTTTTTGCTAACACATCTATCCAATGCCAGCTATAGTACTTCACAGCACATTTCCTGTACACATCTCCTAATGACCTCCTAATGATCTGCTGGATCCTCTCACAGGTAAACATTTTATCTTATGTTGGCATGTGTGTAGCTGGACATGTAAAAGTTCCTTACTGAAGAAATGAAGCATATTAGAAAGAAAAAAGGGGGAGCTGAACAGCCACTGTAACATCCACAACATTATTCACACTTGTTTGAGCGTGATACACATGTGCAGTCACAACCAAACTCACACTATACAATCCACTTGTACCAGACATCTCACTTCTCACTCCTTTTTTTTTTTGTTCAATTATCCTTTCCTTAATTCTCATTTCTTTCTTAGGTACACATGATTAGAAAATGACAGATTTTTTTAAATCACACTGCACGTTCCACTTTCAAGTCCTGGATGAGGGGCCTGTTTTTATTTTCTTTCTCTTTTTTCCCCAGTATTGCACTTATCCTCTGCTTGGATTTTCTCTCGAAACAGCAACATATTTTGGGAAAAGGCATCCATGAAGAAAAACAGAAAGAAAAACACAAGAGGGAAAAAAATTGTAAATGAATAAAACTACACAATGTGACCTAAACTGAAATACTAGTTCTATCCTGTAAATGCTACTAATAATGAAAATAACAACTGCTTTACAGATTCCCTTCTATTTCTCATAAATGATGCAAAGCAGTAACACAGTTATAAACAGGGGAAAGCCATTAGTATAATTTTACAATAAAATATGCCATACTAATATTTGGAAGTAGTAAAAAGAACAACACAATTCTATAATGCCTTCGTCAAAATGTTCAGTGCTATTACTGAAGGAAACCTTTGGAGCCTGTTCATCAAGGACAAATGCAGCTCTTTGTGACAGCAATGTAAACTTGAAACCCACATGCGCTTCTTTACCTGTCTCGGAATCTGGTGCAGAATTTTCCACCCTATATACCTGTCACTTTTAGAAATGTGCATATGGAAGAAGACTCAAACAAAAACACTACCCAGACTATTTTGTGTTCATTCAAGTCTATGATCCAAAGAATACATGCTGGAAAAGGAAGTTCCATTGCACTCCATGGGACCTAATTCCTTGTAAATTTGTTAAGAAACCAATGGGCCAAATTTTTACCCAGAGATGGATTTTTGGCAAGTACCTTGGATGGCAGAAAGCCAGATTAGGACTTAAAGAGCAAAACAAAATAAAGAAGCTAGTTCCCTGAGCCCAAGTGACTCTGGCAACCTGGTTTTTCTCTCTCTCTTTCTTTTGCCACCCTGCCGCTCTTCTGGCCTGGGCTACCTGGGAAAATGATTCAGAAAGACAGGACACTTCCATAAGTAATTGGTCATATGGCCATAAGCCACTGCAGGCCCCTTTCTTGAACCAAGGTGGGGCCCCTATTCCACCTGAGAGAGCTATTTCAATGTACTGCAGATAAATTAACAGGTATAGATGTTGAAGTCACAAAATAGAAGATGACGTTTGGTGAAACTGTATCAGCTTGTACCATTCCAGATTGCAGGTGGAGACTTAAGCGCTACAATGATCCACATCCCTCTGCCCAAAAAGATAAATCTTAGCACACAGAACACAAGATGTCATGGTGGAAAATTCTAACCGATGTGTTAACTTTTTATGTACAAAAAGTATGTGCAATTTGTGGTGGATTATTCTGGCATGTAAATCACCATTTGTAGTCTGAAGTGGTACAGACCCGGTACCACCAGGTTTTCTACTTCATCTGGTTTTTGTAAGAGAACTAAGCTTCAGTTACAAAGAAATTACAAAGAGCAACAAAGCATATGCAGGTAAAGTTGAATAGAAATAAGCTTTAGACATGGTGTTCAGTAGAACTTTGGGGAAAACCAACAACAAGAGTTTCTTTTCAGGCATTATATAAAACCGCAATAACGAACTCAGAAGTGTTCATTATTATTAAAGTTGCAGTATACAGCAGAATAAACTTTTCAAATTTTTGGACTTCATCTAAATTTTAAGCTGTATTTTGACTTTTCCTATCTCGATCATTTCCATTTAGCTATTTATTTGAAAGGACGAATACAACAAAGGCCATCTCAAATAATCACTCCTCCATCCACAAGAGGGCACTCTTTGACTGCACAAAATATTCTATTCAGTAGCTCAGCTCCTGAGAATTTTTTTCATCCATCAATATCACTCTGAACATCCTACATGGTTTTTAAAATATGCTTAAATCACATCTTTAAGCAAATTGGTTTTGAAATAGGAGACCAGATTTTGAAAGGGGAACAAACTCCAGACCTTTTGTAGTGGAACATGAATATGCAGGCTAAAGACTAGTTATTTAAATACATAGATGCAAACTGACTTCTATAAGTTGAATTATAGAAGTGCATGCAGGCATCTGCCTGGCCCCTGGGCAAAGCTCTTCTTAAAACAATCCATTTCTTCAAGACAAAACTTTTTAATGTGACCTAAGAGCTACAGGAGATAATATGATCTAGTACGCATGGGGAAACAGTGGAAGTGACTAAATTAAAAAGGTGCTTGCTAGTGCCCTTTAAATTGCCCCTTTTCTCTGGACTTGAATGCTGCTTTCAGAAGTTATGAAAAGAGCTTTAAGCTCATCCTGCATGATGGTTACTGAAAATGTGTTTCTACAAGAACAAGGAGCAAGATCAAGCATGTCAGGTGGATACAGAGCTAAGTGAGCACAGCTCAGAGGTTAACCAGAAGTTTACCTAGTCACCATATTTATTTTTTTAATAATGTACATTACAAAACTGCCTACTGTGGGGCCTACTTGTGGCACATTTTTATGATCTAAATTTAAATTAACTGTTGATGGGTGACTGGTCTCATAATAAACAGATACCTGTAAAAAGCCAGTCTTTACAGACAACATAGCTACATTGTACCATATGAATATTAAATATGGAATTACAAAACAATCATAAAATAGTTTTGACAGTATGAAGGAAAGATGGTTCCTTCACTGAAGGAATTGTGAAAAATGCAGTGAATAATATATTTTCTCAGAGGGAGCTCAGAGAAGCGTCTTTAAAATCATGAATGAAATTAGCAAATATTGATTTGTGTGCATTGTGAGTGCAGAATAATCAACTATAATCAATGATGTACTGAGAATTACTGGAATATGGGGTGGGGGAAGGAAATCTCATGATCTCTTACCCCTCATTTTAGATCTGTTCTCCACAAAAAAATCTTCAAGACTTTAAATGTTTTTAAATATTACTAGCCAATTTTGCTTCTTTCCAATTAGAAATATTTCCCCTTTTCCTCGGCAGAAGTTTGAGTCTTGCTAACTGAACCTACTGTATTTTGAGAGTCCAATGGCTCAAATGCAAAATTCTGGGAAGTGCACTTTTTGCTTTCCCAAGAGATGATGGCATCTTTAGAACAAAGCTGTATAGTACAATTTTAAATAATCATAAATTATTTTAATAAATAGGTGAACTTTTTTTAAAAAAATGACAATTTATACTGCATCTTTAAATAATGCACTTGGATTTTTTCTGCATTTTGGTTTTAAAATGGCTAAAGTGCATTAATTCAAAAATAATGAACCACTTCCTCATCATTATTGTTAAAAAATAAACCATAAACATTAATACAAGTCACTAAATAACTACTATTAGTACTGCAATCTAGCAGATTACTTTATGGTTTTGCTCTATTTAATACTGTCCAGCAGAAGAACATAATACATCTATAATAATCTCACAGCAGCTCCTGCAAACCTGTAAGTGGCTGCTAAAATTCTAAGAGTAGAAATTTTAAAAATGAGGGAAACATTTGAGACACAAATCTCCTAGGCCTAAGGAAGAAGAGCTCAAGCTAAAATCTGCACCATTTTCCATTGCACTGCAGTGCAGATACTTCTCTTCTCCCCACTGACTTATTTTGGTGTTCAGAGGCCTCTTCTGTCCCTTCTCGTTTCCCCAAGCAACTCCTTTCTTCCATGGTAATTCACCCATGGCATCAAAGTGGACAGTGAGGTCTATCACAAACTTTAATTGTGTCTTAACAGATCATACTGAAAGTCACGTGAGCTGTGGAAATCAATCAGTTGACATTTCTCGTAATTCAATAGACGTAATTCACAATAAAAACAATGGTAAGAGGCAAACATCAAGTGAGACTTCTATAACTTTTCAGGAAGACAAAACATCTCACAATATTGCAAATTCTCAATGGTTTGGAAGAACATGTTAAATCTCGAGCTCATTAAAATCTTCCTGTTCTTTTTGTCTTCCAGCTGGCAGAAGACATGACATGCCCATAGAGAATGCGCAGTTCATTTATCCATTAGTCTCTGTTAACACTTGCAGTGAAACCCAACTTTTTTCTCTTCAGACACAAAATGCTGGGCCTCAAAATGACATCACACTGCGCTGATCTTCAGTGTTCGTAAGGAAAGGCCTTTTGGTGGTTCTTTTACCATTACAACATTTATTTATAGGCTGGTGTTTGAGGCCACATAAAACATATGCTTTAACCCCCCCTCCCCCTCACAGTGCTTATTGACATTTTCACACTCTCCCACAAAAAGTATTTTTTAACTCTTGGAATCATAAATAATGAGGGGGAAGGGGAGCACACATCAGTGAGCATGCACATCCTGCTTAGCAATATTCTTCGCCCTTATTCAGTGCCTCCTCGAGGATATCAAAGGCTTCTCTCCCAACCCTTCAAGAGAATGCAATAGAATAGTGACTTTCTCCTGCTTGTAATTAAAAGAAAAAATGTCTAGAGCATAGATGTTCACAAATAAAAACCACCACCCTGTTGTTATACAAACAAAAAACGTTTGTGAAGATAGTAAAATCCATGGCTTTTTCTCTCCTGTTTGACTTTATAAACAGCAATGCATCTCTCCCAGTGGGGACATTTAAATTAAAATCTGGATGGGTCTTCCCTCTTTTATTTGTTTGTGGCATGGGAATATGTAAGCTTTACTTTGTTACCTTAAACCTAATTCTATTTGCCTGTGATCCCACATTTTGTGGGTGCTTTGATGTGCACTCTTATCTTCAGCACTTGCATTCTTCCCCTTATTTCACTGGGAGAAGTACTCTGGACATGGGCAGTGGGGCTGGCACACAGGTCACAGCCCTTCTCAGTGAAATGTATGACAGAGAACTGTGTGTGCACAACCCCCTTGTGCACACAGAGACTCATTGTGCATGAAGGATGAGGAGTGGGCAATTGCTGTAGTGTTGTAGCTTCAAAGTATGCATGACACTCCTTACAAGTATTGACCTTTCGTTCCCTTCTATACACTGGGGGTTGGGTTCCCAGAAACATGCAGAAGTGCTGTTTCCTTCACAAGAAAGAACACCAAACCCATTATCTAAAAATAAATACAATTCATTCAAGGTGCACTCAAGACTTGTTCACCCATTTATATTTTTCTGTGTGCGATGGATCCCGATTGTCAAGATCTATCCTGCAAAGAAAATTTGAATTATCTTAGCTGGTTGTCCCTGTGTGGGAATTACACACAAGGCCCACAATGATGGCTCTAAAGAAGCCACACCTGCTGAAGTGCAAGGAGCTTCAGTCTAGTTTACAAGCTGGAACTGTGCTCTGTGGCCAAGTGATCTGTATTTTATAAATGATGAGGAGAAATTAATGTAACTGTTGCCTCCTGTCCTCAGCTATACGCAACTAAGGTGTTCAGCTGAAAATCTGCAACTTCACAATCTAAATACGGGACTTTGAATAGCATTTAGATTTAGTTTTATATGACAAACACAAAAAAATCAGTATTGGTTGTTGGAACACCCTAAATGTAAAATATTAATCTACATCCTCCTACCTAGTTACGCTGACATAGCACGTGGTGTAACTTTTGAAGGCAAATTGCCTTAAGATAAGAAATCACTACAGACATTATCAGTTGCATACTGAGTTACAGGACTCCGCATGCAACTGATAATGTCTGCAGTGATTTCTTATCTTAAGGCAATTCACTACCAAAAAGTTATGCCATTTGCATAACCACATAAGAGGATTTTGGCAAATAACTGTGAGACCAAAGTGTGCACAAGAAGTATGCACAACACATAGCTTTCAGTGTTCACCAAATACCTAGAACCACATCGAATTGGTTATACTCAAATTCAAATTAGAATAGGGTGTGTTTTTTTAAAATGATACTTCTTGAAACACTTGACACATACACACATTATTACAGGAGGATAGCATGATGGATCCCATGGGGGGAAATGAACAATATGCACTCAGACACCAATGCCAAGAATGCATAGTGAAAAAGCAGCTGAGGGTTGATGTTGGATTCCTCAGAGAAACCTCCCCCCTTATTCTGCACACGTGAAAGAAGTCTTGGGATAAAAACCATCCACAGCTTGGAGATGCTTTTACACACTGTACATAGAAGAAATGAACAAGTTTTTTTTCCTTTTAACTTGTCCAGGTTTGGCACCAACTCCCTATAATTCTCAAGCAGACTATATTGTGAAAGGCACACATTTGGTTTCCTATTATTATGTCCAGGAGGATGGGCTAATGTACCCTGTTGGGCTCCAACTGTGAAAGGCGCCACCAAATAACAAAACCTCAAGGTTTTGGTTTCCGTTGCCTATTCTTGACATTTGCTGAACGAGCCAATTCCTTCAAACACCCTCTTGAAGATAGCAGAATTGCTGATCATAGCTAAGCTCCATTTGACCGTCTCTTTTATACTGACCAAACAAAAGAAAACACATCTTGGTGTTGTCCATCCATCCGCCTATGTACATAGTAGGAAAGTATAAATTAATGTGTATAAAAATTGTTGGAGCGCTAATTCTTTTTCTCCAAATAATTTGAGGGCACCCAGCCTTTAAAAGGTTTCCCTCCATCCATGATCTGACAGTACCACCAACCATTGGGGTTTCTTTCCAGTACCTCCATGCAGACACCTTCTGGAAATCCAGCAGTTTCTTCATCTCCCTCATAATCTGCAATAGCAACATAGATATCCTTAAGGTTATTGTGAATGAACTGGGATTTTTCAATGGGCTTGGGCCGGACTGTGGAGACTGGGATTCCATTACGGTCAGTAGGTAGGTAGGCGGTTGTGTCAGAAACCTCAGAGCCCAGGCGATCAGCATGTTTTACTTTAGAATCGCTAATCTGGGACTGAGCAGCACTGAAAGAAGAATTGCGGCGTACTGCCCTCAGGTGATCTGTGGCTGTAAGAGACTCGTTCCTGCGGAGAGAACAAGGCAGATTATTATCCTTGGGCGGAGGTGAGACAAACACCGATTGTGGTCTCACTGCTAACTGTCTAATTCCGTTTCGTAGTTTGACAGGTCCCGAGGTTTTGGAGAAACCACCAGGAGGTTTGCTGGGAATAGGAGGCATCCTCTTGCTCTGGTTAATGGTGTTCAGTGCCTGGACCTTCTTCTCTATCTTCTCCAAACTATTGGATTTGTTTTCATTTTTTCTGTTCTTGGCCAGTGAGATGTTAGTTTCACAGGAAGTACTCTCTCGTTGCTGGTTATCTGAGGGCATCAGATAGTGAGAAGGAGCCCACCCTTCGATATCTCCATATTTCAAATACCACCACCCACTTGTTTGCTTTTCCAGCACTTCCACCATAATTCCTGCTGGGAAACTGATCTCAGAATCCTGAACCTTCTGGTAAGAGTCAGTAGTTATGTAGAGACACTTTGAGGAGTTGTTTTCATTCTCTGCTTTGGCTGACTGACTATTGTAGAATGCAGCATTGGAAGGAGATGTAATGAGATCTGCAGAACTTCTTCGGATGGACTCATCTAGGTTTCCAGAGGCAGTATAAGGCGGACTTTCAGACTCTTCACTTCTTGAACCTTTAAGTCCACCTCTCAACTGCCCAATGGGCCTCAGCTGGTGGCGTAAAGTGCTGATGTCCATCTTTTCCTGACTTTGGGAATCTGCTTTGTTCAGGAAAGGTTTGGGTCGCACTACAGGTTTTGCTTTGCTAGACGCAGTCTCCCCAGTATCTTTCTTTATGCCTGATTTGGGCAGTGTACTTAAGCCAGCATCGGAAGCTGACCTTGGCTTTGTCTCCTCGTTCCGCGAGTAGTGAGGTTTTCCAAGATGTGGCTGAACGCTTTTGTCACATTTGGGCTTCAGAAGGGTGGACTTCGGGGAAACAGAACAGGGAAGGTTTTTTTGGATTGATGACAGTGAGGGACTTTTTTGGGAATCTGATTCTCCACTGGATTCTTTATGTGACAGAGCATCTTCTATGTAAGGCCTAAAACCTTCATTTTCATAGATGGTTTCTTCTTCATGAGCCACATCCTCAGAAGACTCTCCAACTTTGAATTTTGCCCTTTGGAGGGATGATATAGGGGAAGGCTTTGTAATATGGAATGTGCTACCCTCTTCTCCCTGGCTCAGCTCAGATTCAGAATCAACACCAAAGGCAGGCACATCATACTCTGGTTCTTCATATTTTTGCTTGTCAGGAGAGTCCTGGGCATCTCCTGAAACTACTGTTCCTGATGCTGTTACTTCTTCAGAGTCTTTCGGTTTATTGGGAGGTGCAGGGGGAGGAACTTTGGGTCTGGTCAAAGTACTGGTTCGCCTGTTTAAATTGGGCTTCTTCCTTTTATCAATGTATGATGCTGGAGCCCAGCCTTCTTTTTCACCAATCTGCACATACCACCAGCCACCAGAATTCTTGTCAATGACCTAGAAAGAGTTTAACAGAGAACAAAGCAATGTTATAATTATCATTGTTTTAAAAAAATCTGGGCTACTCTCTAGTTTCTGCACATTGTTTCGCAAGTATCCATCATTCTGTCATTGGTTTGTTTCCCTTTCCTGGCTTACCTCTGCTTTTTGTCCCCCATGAAAACTTATCCCATCAGAGATACAAGACTGGAACTCTGCAATAGTATAGTATTCAACTTCTACTGATGGTGGCTCAGGAGGTTTAGGTAACTGAAAGCCCTATGGTAAGAAACGGTGACATATAGGTTAGTAAAAATGATAGGGACAAAAAGACAAATTAAATTAAATTATTACAAACCAGTTAAAACTCAAACACCAAGCTGGCAAACAGAATTTCTGTTAGCACCCGTGTGACTAAGGAGCCATGGATGTTTCATACACAGAGAAGATAAGACAAGTTATTTCAGAGAAGGCTCATAAGAGCAATGCTTTGTCTAGCTTACAATTTCCAGCTTTTTATGTTCCAAGGTTTTGACACATGAAGAAGGATCCAAAAAAGGAAAAATATCATCCCAGATTATTATCACTTTTCTTCACACGGGAGTTGCTCCAGTCCCATGCTAATTTTGCTTGTCTTTTTTTCTATAAGTTTTCTAGCTCCAATATATCCTTTTTGTAGTGTGTCACCAGAGCTGTACAGGGTATTCCTGTGCTTTGAAACACCATAGTTACATTAAATGAGTAACATGAACATGAACTAATGTTAATTTTAAATATCAATTTCTTATTGTTCGTGTTCAAGAAAACTTGAAAATTAATTTGTTACATTAATGATTAGTGGCTAAAATCCCACTGAGTAAATTACACCTGCCTATAATCACTGGTAGGGGGAAATTAAAGAGTTGCAGGTTTGATCTTGGAACTCCCTGACCAGGCCTGCTTGCAATCATTCTCTTTGGGGGGGGGATGATAATTGGGATTGAAACTTTAACTACAGTAATATATAATTATATCAATCTGTCTCCTCTGGATGATGTTAAGAGCAGCAACAGGTTGCTGGTGATTAAAGGGTTAATTGGCTTACAATGACACCGACTAGAGGCGGGTTGGGGAGCCTCAAGGTTGAAGCACGAACTTTTGATTTACCAGCAATCTCTCACTGGCAATGACATCATCACTAGACATGGGGACAAATAGAAAAATGAATCAGGATATTCTTTAAATATCCCTGATTCCTCAGATATTTGTTGCTTCGCATTCTTGGGGTCCAGAGATGCCAATGAATACGAAGCAATGAATATAACCCTTTTATATTTGACCCTTTGTTTCCTATCTGCTTATGCCCCCAGGATCAGCTGTTCTTCGGGGGCATAAGCAGAGAGGGGTTTTCCCTTCCAGTGGCTTGCTAAAGCCTGCTGGAAGGGAATCCCACCCCCGGGGCTGTGGGATGGCTTGGTTCCCCTTTCCTCCTCTTCCTATGCCCACGTGGCATAGGAAGAGGGAGAAGGGATTAAAGAAGGATCAAAGAGATACCCCAACCCACTGCTACAGGATGACTTTGATCCATGCTTTCCCTCTTCTTGTATGCCCCGCGGGTCATAGCAAGAGTAAGAAAGGGATCACTTTGATCCCTGCTTTGAAAAGGGATCAAAGCCATCCTGCAGCTGTGCTGCCTTTAGCGTACCTCCGGGATTGCTTTGATCCCTGCTTTCCCTCCGCTTGCTATGCCCCATGGGAGGCATAGCAAAAAGGAGGGAAAGCAAATAACTAATCAACCAACCAACCAACCAACCAACTAAAAACTAACTAACTAAATAAATAAATAACCCCACAAATGACAAATTAATTTGTTGTTCATTGGGTCACTGGGGGGCAATTCATGGTACAACCAAGACAAAGTGCCATTTTGGTGCTTCATCCCCATCTCTAATCATCACCCATACACAGGAGAATTTACTCAACAGGATTTGACATTAGTAACAAACATTAGTGAAATGTTGGTTTAATTAAAACAAATCAATTGAAATAATTTAAAATGACCAAGTATGGTCACCCCCCCCCAAATGGATTTCATATGTCCTCTGGACCTCATATTCCTGCTCTGAGCCCATTTAGTTTCTCTGATACCTTTAATTTTTAAACTCACATGCTTAGCATTACTTCTTCCAAATGCAAATATTAATATACCACAGGGTGTAGGATAACTAAATAATCTTCAGATTCCAAGGTGGTTTATATTACACTAAATCAATTGGAAACAGCAGGACACTAGAAATTCTCTATGTCTTTTGCTAGTATACAAAGCGAAATTGTAGCAACTACACCAAATAAGATAATAAATTAGTACAAGGGGGGGAGGGGTTTGCAAAAGGGAAAAGAGTATTAACAAGAATAAGAGCCTAGCTACACATTACATTCACCACATCGAAATAAGCCAGAAGCCTTATATAAAATGTTGATAGGATGGGCTTCAGAATACATAGCACAAAAAGGCATGGAAGTCTCCATGGGAACGTCAGAAAAAGATCAAGGAAAACCAGAGCCCTTAGCTACCTTTTTTGATCCTTCTCTACCCTGCCTTATTGTCCTTCGGGGATGAGAGTTGAAGAACAGCTGCAATTACTATGAAATCATTGCAGTCCATAGAATCTGCTTCTCGTTGTATTTCCAGTTTACCCCTCAACAGCTAAACTGGTACTGTAAAGTGCTCAGGATTACATTTTTTATTCCCTCTAAGAACTTGACAACTTTACTGGCATGTGCATTGATAACTGATTCTGAGCTCCTTAATTTTCATGGGTAATGGGACAGGCACTGCAAATCTTCCCACATCACAGAAGCTGGAATCTATGGTTGTTCCTGTGTGCTGTGGTCTGAGATGTGGCTCACACATTAAGGAAAAAGTCCATTCCTCAATCATACCGCATGCTTACATAGATGCGATCACCAGCATTCCCAGTTAAAGGACCTTGGGGAACTACTGCCAAAGTATACTACACCCAGCTAGTTGGAAAGAGTGGAAAGACAACTGTGTTGCAAGCATTTTCCCCCTGTTGCTGATGAAATAGCACAATTGCCCTAGCCATACCAAGCAGATTAATAAGATTAATAAGATATGGGCCTGTTAGATACAGATATACACAATGTCCTGAAGTAACAGGAATAGAAACCTTCTACAGCAAGACTTTTGGAAGCAAAATGCTGTGAATTTTTTTGGTAAAATACTGAATACCTGGTAATTTATATCAAAATCTGGAGGTAAACAGTCACAGGTAACTAGTTACTTGCGATCTATACCCTTTTCCTGTAACAGAGGCATAACTGTGATATTATTGATATAAGCTGCCTTGGGTCCTTTTGGGGAGAAAGGGAGCACAGAAACAAACTAACTGAATTATTACAACTGTAACTGTAAAACAAAAAATTTCCCTCCTTTTGTGCTGCAACTGCAAGTTTAGAGTTGCTTTCATAGTTAGGAAGACATAGTTTCAAATAAGCAATTGAGGAGATTTATCTGATTAAGCAGTGGTTTGTGCTTTGCCATCTTATGTGCTGTTGAGATAAGAAGGTGGACAGGAAGATAGTGTTTTGCTGTTACATTCCAGTATTTTTAAGTAATTAACATTAAGTTATTTTTCAGAAAAGGTAAAAAGTAAAAAGTCAATTTTAAAATTCTAAATCTAAAACCAACTGAATGATATTTTTTACATTTTAACTATTAGTATAAACAATTAAATTAAAAAAAATAAAATTCTGTTCTTTGTTGTATGTCAGGAGATATTCTTAGGATCTAAACGCATAGACATTTTGTGTTGTGTTTATACAAATGTAGTGCAATGTTGAAATATTTGCTAATATCACAAGTATAAAAGAATCCAGCACTTACCAAACTAGATTCTCTTCTTGGGGGAGGCCTCGTTCTTAGATTTGGAGAGCCTAATGGTGAATGGAGGAATAGTCTCAATTTAAACAGAACATGCTACCCTGCAATCAAAAGTTCTTTTCAAAGCAATTAAGAAGAATTAACATTAATTAATTATTGGGGGGGGAACATGAAAATATTGATATAAGCCAGTCCTTGGCCAAAAGACTTCCAAAGCACATTGCAAGATGCAAGTCAGATAATTACTAAAATCAGAAAAGGTAGCATAAAAATAGAGCAGAACTAAAGCTCCCTGAAGCGGGCCTTCTAGAATTGGAGTCTCGTAACAAAACAGATGCTGTCTCCCGATCTACAGGCAGGTTTCTGAGGACAATCGTAGTACTCTGGGAGTTCTATTTGGGAACTGGCAGCCCTTAAGATCCCCTAGTTTCAAGCTGCTCAAGGGTTTAGGTAAGTTAAAATATAAGGGTCACTACTTTGAATCTGACTAGTAGCATTGCAACAGTTACTAACTTCACTTGTATACTTTGTGGTAAGGGACGTTTGAGTAGTTTTCTAAGTGACATTCTAACACTTACAGAAAGGAATGTCCCCATAAAATGGATTAGAGGGATTTAATGGAGGCATTGTCACATGTTGAATAACAGTGACCAGGTCCTCGTCTGTCTAGAAGGAGTTGCATCTGTGGCACTGACTTCAGATGGTGAAAGGCATTTTGTGCCATGCAATCAACACAGGGCCACAAAGATGGATCTAAAAGCACTCCCAACCCAAGATCATTTATGACAGTCTGCCCAGAAAGACAATATGGCTGGAAGCAGACACCTCAGCTGGTAAAGTCCGTACACACCCCTATCTTTCTCCTGCTATAGGCCACCCATTAAGATGGGCATTTTGGCATCAAATCCAGGCCCAATATGAGACTGAAATGGCTAAAAGTAACCACAACTTACCTAGTTCAAACAGCACAAATTATGTGCTTTTGGTAGAAAATATTGTGTCTTCCAAATGTCCTAGACTACAAATACTCTAATCCCTGATTTAAAACTCTGGGTAGGATTTATGGGACTGGTAGTCCAAGTTATCTGGAGAGCACCACGTTGTGTACCTCTGTTCTAAGGACTGCTAAAATGTCAAAACAGTTATTAAGTGGATATCAGCTCTGTTTGTACAGCTGTTCTCAATACTACAGTCTTTTACATACAGTCAGTCTTTGTGTGTACCTAGGGTCTTGACCCCAGTCTCAGATGCATTTAATTGAAGGCCAGAAACTATGAGCCCATAAATTTACATATATGAAAAGTGTTCCTTGCATAATTATGTTGTAAACTGCCCAGAGAGTATGTTCAAATGATGACAGCAACAACAACAAATATATATACAGGACTCTTGCCGCACAGTATTTGGAAAAGTGAAAAGAGCTCTAATACTTATTAACCTCAAACCTAATGGACACTGGAGCTTGCTGTGATCCCAGTCTCCAGCTATGAAAAGTCCTTGCACTAATTTACTTTGCTAGGGATGTGATCCCAGATAACACCACTTTTACAAACCTGGCCCTGCTTCAACAAAAGATGATTGGAGTCTTTTGGAAAAATAGTCTTTACCTGTTTAAAGCCATCTATCTTGTAATCAGTTACAAATCTGTAGAGTTGTCAAACTTCTGCAGATAGACTGTGTGCACATAAGGGGTCTAACATTCAAGATAAGATTGGGAATGGATGGAGACTTCTAGCCCACATGCCAGATACTCTCCATCTGCTTTGCAAGAAGTGCTATTATATGAAATGCTTATATGTCTTTCCAACCTCTCCCTCATTCTTTCTCTGTTGGGTTGCATTTGTAGTCACTGCTTTGGGCAACTTTATTCTGTTTTAGGACAAATGCCACAAGGCAATACGAAAAGTTGTTTGTCATGCCAATCAATAACCTTTATCATATGCTGCAACCTGGCATGTTGTGCATTTCATTTTTACCTATCTCAACAAAATTCTATAACTCTGACTGTAGTTAAACGATGTCCTGGGGGATGTTTTATGCACAATGGAACAAAACAGGATGGAAGCTAATCAGAACCACAGCACTATTAAGTCACTATATTTACTATCTAAGGGGCTATTTGGAAGGCTAAGGGATAATGACAGAAACAACAGGGACGGGCAAAAAAACATTCACTTTGCATTTAAATGCAAGCCCAAATTTGTCCATAGCACATTTCATTCACACTTAATGGGATTTTTTTTCTTGCCGTCCTTAAATTTTAAAAATGCATATAAAACTCCATGTGTTAGGGAAAGGGGACATAAAAACTCGGAATAGATTTACTATCCCAACTTTGCTATTGCTCCAGCAAAAGCAGAAAGAATTAAAAGAATGGAAAAATTAGGAGTCTTGCATGGTCTTACTTATTTCAGCTCTTTGTGGTGCAATCCGTGCTATGACTGGAGATCCCTGGGCCAGTTTGGACACCTGCTTGTCTTGTGCTGTCATGAAATTGCCATTGGAGTCATTGCATAAGATGGGCAAACTTATTTCCTTCTTGGTGATGTGCGATTCTGCCGTTTCGATTTCTGATTGGGTTTCCTTGTCACTCAAAGATTTCTTGTTTAACAAATTACTGATCTCCATGATGTTTCCGATAATTTCAACTGGTCCTGTTAAGTTCTTTTTCCTAGATGGAAGATCATCTTTTACTTTCTTCAGATACGATGCTGGGGCCCAGCCCTCTTTGCCTAAGTACCTAGAAATTAGACAAATAGTTACATTTGGTTCATATTTCTCTAAAATGAAGCACATTGTGGTCCAGGATGATACAGGAATGGTGCAACCAATTTTCAGAATGAGGAAAGACTGGAGGTGAGACATTTAAGCGAGGTCAACATGAAAGGCCTCCCTGTTTTTATCTGCCTCTTACATGATTACAGGGAGGGGCTGGGCGTAGCTCCTCTGGGAGTTGATTCCATAACGTAGGTGTCACCACCAAGAAGGCCCTATCTCTAGTTGATGACTTTTGGGCCTCTCAGGATAGCTACACAGAGGAGCCTGTCCTGAGGAGAAGACCTGGTGGGTCAGGCAGATGACACTGGGGAAAGGTGCTCCGACAGTTAATGTGGTGCCAAACCACGAAGGGCTTGATACATGAGTATCAGAACTAGAGATGGGGTATACGAATACCCCCGCACAGGTGGACGTAGTGAGGGCGCCGGCTCCACTCTCCCTTCCAATTGCTCCAGGGCACCTGATTGACTATCTACTCCTGGCTGGAGGCAGGAAGATGAATCTCCCCGCCAGGCTGATGAGTGGATAGCTGACTGGGAGCTCCGGAGCGACTGGAAGGGAGAGTGGAGCTGGTGCCGGCAGTGGATGGGTGTCCACCTGTGTGGGGATATTTGTACACAAATACCCCCATCTCTAGTCCGAACCCTGAACCTGGTCCAAGACACAACCGTTATCGAGTGGGGGGGGGCAGCACCGGGGCGATGTGATCAAATTTGCTCACACCAATCACCAGTCTTGCTGCTGCGTTATGGGCCTGCTGTAGTCTCTGGGTCAGTCTCAAGGGAAGCCCGACATAGAGAACATTGCAGTAGTATTTCCAGGAGATTACCAGTGCCTGCACCAATGTCCTGAGGGAGTCCTCGTCTAGGGAGGGGCAGAGTTGGGTGATAAGCCCAAACTGATAAAAAAACGATCTGGACACGGCTGCAATCTGTGAATACTAAGAAAGAGATGGTCCAGAAGAGTGCCCTAATTACAAACTTGATCCCTAAACAGGTGGGCAGTGCCATACAGTCTAAGGATGATTCCTCTTTGCAATCTTTCAGAGGGTCCCCAGGAACAGAATCTCAGTCTTGTCTGGATTCATTTTGAGCCTTTTCACCCTAGTTCATTCCAGTACCAAAGCCACGGATCGACTGCTCAAGCGTCAGGATGGCCTCCAATGTGGTAAAGGAGAGATAGAATTGTGTGTCAGCAGCATACTGATGACACTGTACTCTGAATCTCCTGATGATCTCCATTATGTTTGGAAACATAATCCACCCAGTGCAAAATTACAACCATTCCCATCTTACTTCTCAATTATTTTCTCTCAAGTCACTAAACACATTAACTTTGTTTGGGATTCTTCAGGCAAGAAAGTGCCTCTGAATGTACGCAGAAAGCATTTTTCCCACTGTTGAGTAACCAAGGCAGGTGCCACTTATTAACTGTCCTAGTTGCGTTACAAAGGTTAATGCCTGACTGTCCAGGAGGCATGCCCCTGGTAATATGATGAGTGCCTTGTTAGCAAACTGCCGCAGTAAGTTATACTATTATCAACAGGATTCTGGCCACCAGAAGATGGAACAGCAGTTTGTTTAAGATGCAACGGCTGTTTGTTTCACAGCTCAAAGACTGGTTTGTGAACTTCTCCCCACCTTCAGGAGGAAAGCCATGAAATCTGAAAAGCATTTTGTAGACAAAGAACCCAAGTCTATCTATAGAAGGAGTTTCCTTGTTATTCATCAAATGAGGACAACGAACATTATAGGCATATTTAATTGAACCATTTACATTGTTTCCTTGTTATTCGTCAAATGAGGACAACAAACATTATAGGTATATTTAACTGAACCATTTACATTGTTTCCTTGTTATTCATCAAATGAAGACAACAAACATTATAGGCATATTTAATTGAACCATTTAAATCATAGCCTATATTGCCATTTCATTAAGATCACATCTCATATCTGACTAGTTACCATGGCTAGCCTTTATGAAATATACTGACTCTCTTATGGCAAATTGAACAGTAACTGCTTGTGAAATCTTCTCAACCTATACAGCAAACAAAGAATACACCAGAGAATGGAATGGAACCAGAAGGCTATAACCTTTTGAGGGGGTGGAATAGGGGGACAGTTTCATTTCTGTTTGAAAACCAATCACTTATTTTTAATGCTGCATAAAGTCTAAAGTTAATATTCAACCATAGCAGTGAGGGGAAAAGAAGGAATCAAAAACTGCCTCCGTTTGTCTGAGCATTTTCTTCCCTCCTTAACATCTGTTTTCCAGCTCCAGAACACTGGAATTACTCCAGGGGGAAGGAAACCAGGAAGGGAGAGTAGGGGGAGGGAAGTGAGAATCAGTAGAGAACCATGAATTTTGGAAAATGTTATATTTAAGGAGGTGAATGCTGGGGACTTTAAGGTGGAACCTATTACAGTATCTAATTATAAGTTTTTTCTCTCTTGTATTACAACTCTGTGATTAAGAAAGATACATTATGGCAAATACTTTTCTGGCAATAGACATATTGGCAACAATAGTTTCATTTCATCAGTTCTTAAACTCATTTTGCTTTGGAAGGCAAGACACTCTTTGCCCTTTCTCTCCTCATCTTGCTTTCCTTTGCAAAATCCCAAGTGAAATCTCTCACAGTCCTCTGAAACTGGTGGCTGGTGAAGATACAGAAAAGAGGTACATAGAGACTGCAGAAAGTTGGGCATTCACAGCACTCACTGAGGGCTAAATCATACCTTCCTCTTGATAGATACTCAAGTGTGGTGTAATGTTCAAATCCCCATTCAAGGTGACAGTGGTGGAGGAAGAACTTGTAAAGCCACTCATTAAAGATTAACTTAGTTTGAAGGGCTATTAGGGTTGCTATAAGTTGCCTCCAACTTGATGGAACAAAACAGCAACCTATTATTTGAAGAGGGGATTCCTTAAGGGTTATTTTTGTGCATGTGTGACTACAGATGGGCAGAAACTGCTGGTTCATGCCAGTCTGTTTATTGGCTGAACAAGTGTCCTGCTGTTCAAAGCCCTGCCTCCTCCATCAGGCACCCATTCAGAAGCAGTGCCCAGAGGAGGCAGGGCAGGGCAGCCAGGCTGCTGTCTTTGAATAGGCATCCACCAGAGGAGGTGGAATTCTGAAATGCCAAACACTTGTTTCGATGATACAGTAAATGAAGTGGCATGAACTGCAGAACCCGCAGTTTGTGCCCATCTCTATATGTGAGTGTTATAGCAGAAGACTTGCTCCCCTTCCATAGTTCACAAATTAACTTTTTTGGGACTAATCTTCAGGCCCTGGGCATGTTCTTACTTTTAAGTCTGATTTCTCAGACAGGAATGACTCCTTCAGCCATGGCTATCAAACATTAATGTGACTTCAACTGCAATGATGGGTTATTTGTAACATGTAGCTTAGCCCTCAGTTAGCATGAAATCTCATACCCAATTATGTGGCAGTAAGTGCCATTGATACCGGTAAAACTTGCTTCTGAGCAGACATACATAGGAATTAATTTCCTAGACTATGGATCAGCAAAAATCGTTTCTCTCTGCACATGCAGGGTGGCAGGTGAAGTACTTGGAGGCAGGAATATGTGATGGAGTGGAAGAAGCTGAAAGCCTGTTTTCCCCAGAACCATTGTTGCTTTGGCCATTATCTGTTTCCCTACCTGGTTGTGGGATCATGCATAAATATGACGGTCATACAGAGATTGTTTACATTAAAGCAATATTTCAGAATATGCATTGGTGTAAATGAAAGCAAGTCAAAGCAACACCAAGTCAGGTGGTAGTTGCATGGTGTTTGAATGGCAGTTTGTGTTCCCTTGGAAAACACGTTTAATCCAATGTTAATCACTCTGGCCAGATGCATGCACTCTCTCTCCAACTGAAGGCTGAAATTCAGAAAGGCAGAGAGGTGGATGTGTATGTGTGTATATCTTGGGTGTGCATGCCTTGAGGAGGGAAGTGCAGTAGGAAATAGCCGAACAAGCTGGTGCTAGAAAAAAACATTCACATGCACCTTCTGAGCACTGACAAGCATAGGAGAGCTTGGTAGTGACAGATGACTGACACACAAACATGCAAACAAAAGACATGCACAGCTGGAGCAACGGAGGAGACATGGGCTGAAATTGGCTGGCTGGAGGGAGGAAGAGCAAAGTGGTGGCGGGGGCAGCATTTTGCCTGTCTGCCTGCCTTTCAGAAGCTAGTTATGGGGTTTGCATGCAGGCGCAATGAAGAGATGCTTCCTTGGGTTGATCTTGCCTTATCTGTCCCTTCACCTCGAGACTGGAAGAAGATTTGGGTGAGTGAATGAGCAGCAGGGGGCTCCTGCAGCCTGATTGATGGCTGGGCTTATCTCCCATTCCCTGCTTTTAAACCCACAATAGCAGGGGCAAGTGGCTGTGAGAGTCAGCTAGTGGGAGAGTGTGGCAATCACCCTGCTTTAGTTCATGTATGAGGTTATTTGCATACACCAATGGGAGCTGATATGAGGTGGAGCCAGAGAAACCAGAAGGGAGGGGTGAGTCAGAGTGTGCGGGAGTAAAGTTAGAGTCAGAGATGAGAGTCTGAAGTAGAAGTTAGTCTGTGGTAGATAAAGAGTGTGGCAGAGTTAGGAATTAAGAGTGTGGAACTTACAGAGAGCTAAGAGAGTTAAGAGGGAAACAAGTTATTACTAATCTAAGGAATACATTAAAGTCTGTGAAGAACCCCGATTAAGCAAACTGTAATCAATAAACCTATGTTGTTCAACTTTATAATTAAAGGTCGTTGACAGAGGTCAACTGGTTGCAGCAGAAAGGAGAGAATATGTTGTGGGCCTCAGGCTAGTGAAACAACCTGGGAACACGTGAGGGGCACGTCAAAGAGGGCTACTTACAAATTAACACAGACAGAAACATTCATATAGGAGGAATCAATGTAAATGAATTGATTCCACATCCATGTTAAAATAAATGGACCTCTGGCAGAGGAGTAAAACAATTCACTGCCACTCCAAAAAACATGATTTCCTGTCAAACTAATCTGTTCTTACATGTGCATTGTGTACTCACCTCTTTTTAGAGTGATTCAAAGACTAATATAGTTTTTTAAAGCAATGTAACTGCCTTCACAGTCTTCACTCTTACGTCTGAAGAAGTAGACTTGATCCAAGAAAGCTGATATTAAGTTAGTCTTTAAGGTGCCACAACATTTTTGTCTCTCTCTCTTTTTTACAAACTAATCTGTTCTTACATGTGCATTGTGTACTCACCTCTTTTTAGAGTGATTCAAAGACTAATATAGTTTTTTAAAGCAATGTAACTGCCTTCACAGTCTTCACTCTTACGTCTGAAGAAGTAGACTTGATCCAAGAAAGCTGATATTAAGTTAGTCTTTAAGGTACCACAACATTTTTGTCTCTCTCTCTCTTTTTAAAATGTCTGATATACTATGTCTGGTATCCATCTTCCATGAAAAAACCAAAGACTACAAGAGACTCCAATTCCCTGCACAGCTTAAGATAAAAGAAAGTTTGCTGATGACAAGAAGAATGTGTTAAAACTAAAAAAGAGTCCAGCAATAAAATCAGGGAGAGTTTGTGGTGCTGTTCCTTCTCCTGCAAAGTACTGTGCACTCTGCTCCTGAACCCTTGGCTTTGGATTAAAGTCCAATAAATGATTTAAAAGGAGAAGTATGCAGGGTTTACATAGGGCAGCCAGCCACTCTCTGCTCATCATGTTGGGAATCTACTACCCGCCTCTATCAGCTTTCATTTATTATTGATGGGAGAGTTAATATGGAAGATGTAACAGCAAATGTGTTTATGAAACACACAGAACTCTGTGTGGTTCCATTATTCATAGCTCCGATGCTATACCATGGCCAGACTACAAAAGCAAATGACAATCTATGAAAAACATCTATTCTAAATGCAAAGCAAGTGAGCAAAAGGGTAGTTCACAGGATCCTGGGGTGAGACGGGTCATTTGGAAGATCTCCCTACCGCATTCAGGGATTCATAAGTTTGTATTCGCCTTGACAGTTGTTGATCCAAGCTCTGCTTTAAAGCCATCCAGGGAACAGAATTCCACAGAATTTTAAAGGAAAGCTATTCATTTGCCAATTGTTTTTCCAAATATATTTCTTTTTCCTGATAGCCCAAGGCTGCAGTTCTTTGCACACTGATTTGGGAATAAACCCATTAAACTCAGTAGGACTTGCTTCCAGGGATACATGTATAGGATCAGACCATTAATGCTGCAGTTAAATCTAAAAGACTACATACTATTTGCATCAGTGATCTCTCTTGTATCAATTAGCAACAGGAGTTTCTTCTGCTGAACACTGTAAAGGCACACTGCTTACGTGGCATTTAATGTATCTGGAGAAATGCCATAGAATGTCCAGTTTACACTTGGAACTCACAATTTAAGACTTTCAAAAGGAATATTTTTGAATTACTTTTTGTATTTGCTATTTTTCAAAACTTACCACAGCTCAACTCATACGTTAACAGAGCATATCCCCTTTTACATAAACACCGTGTTGTTGTTATACAGCATGTACGTCTGTGCATACATTCTCTCTAAAATCCTAGCCATCACCTTCAAGAACTGATCTAAAAGGCAAAGTCACATTGAGAGCTGAACTGGTCCCCTCCTCCCCAATTTGTTGGACACTAATTTCCCCCACAAATCTACTCCTCCAGGCAAAATATTTCCACATAATGCATTGTGCTATACTGAACACACCATAGTGTTTGTTTAAGTAGTTCTGCACAATTTTATCTGCATTTTCATAATAATACGTAAAAATATTTTCCGGTCCTATCTTTGGTATAAAAAGCTTGCAGGATATTGTTGTGAAGCTAACTAATCCAAATAATTTATTTATTTATTTATTTATTCTATTTGTATCCAATAATCTTGCTGCCCTCAAGTCTTTACCTTATGTACCACCATCCTTCCAAGTTCTTTTGAATGACCTCCACGGTGACTCCTTTGTCGAACCCGATTTCGTCCTTCCCCTGGCTGGTGTATGACTGGATCGTGACATATTTCTCTTCTAGCAAAGAAAGAGAAGGCAACATCAGTTAAGAGCAAAACTGGGTCCCTGCAGTTCCTCTTCTCTGATTGCTATTTCAAATGATTTTGTAACAATTAAAATGTGGAAGCACTGGAGAGGTGGAGTCTCACTTGTGAGGCCCTGTACCTATTAGCTTTCATGCTGTAAGCATGCCTGTATCAGCTCGTCACCACCGCCCTGCACCTTCCATGCCAACAAATGAGACAGGGTCTCTGGAGAGGGGGCTCCCCTGAATCTAACATATGGTAATGTCAAAAATCAAGCTAGCTGCCAAAGTAGCAAAAGCATCACTGAAGGAGCTGGCTCCAGCTGGCTCCATTTAGCACACATATGGTTATGCTGAGCACTGCATTACTGAATACTGAAGCTGGAGTCTCACCAACGTTCCTCCAACTGGAAGGAATGGAGTGGCCTCTGCTCTTCACACCCCTAGAAACAATCTGGTTTTTGAGCACAACACAGCCAGCAATCGTTTGTTCATGATTAGATTGTACTGTACATCCTCCAACCTTCACTAAAGAAAAGCAAGCGTCACTTTCTGAGCTTCATTTAACATTCATCCTCAATTATCTACTGCTGACTTTAACTATCCATGTGTTGTTAGTGTTGTATGGAGATCATAGCAACACATGGATAGTTAAATCTGACAGTAGATAATTAAAACATGACGCTTGCAGTAAAGTTAGCAGTAGACAATTAGAAAGGATATGTATTAATATTCATTGTGGTGCTAGCTGACACGCCATGGTCCCAAAGAGGAGGGTGCGAGGAGAAAACATGTCTGTTTATGCAGAAATTAATGGAATAAGTTAAGAACTCCCAGGTGACAAACCTAGGATCTCTCCTCATCTCTTTTCTCCTCACAACGATCGTATGAGATTAGGTGAAGAGACAGCAACAAAGTATTTTAGAAACTGATCCCTCTAGCAGTCATATTTCTCTGTAGCCAGAAAAGAGAGAGACGTTTCATGCCATCTAATTGATCAATTGAAAGCATTTATAATAGAAGAACTATAAAGCTGGAAGGGATCTTAGAGATCATCCAGTCCAATCCCTGTCTGGGAGACACAGTACCTAGTCCTTCACTCAGAAAGTGCCCCCAGAGTAATGCATTTATGCTACCATGAACTCAATACTATAGCTCTGTATGTAGCCGAAATACAGTACCAGCATCCAAAAACAAGAAGGAGGGATAAGCAGGCCTGCGCAGAAGCAAATTTTTGCAGAAGGAGAAATTTTCAGGATAAACCTTTAAATGGGCACACAGAACGCCACAGACAGACACAGCTGACTGATGGGGGTAACAGGCTGGCATGTCCTCCTCATGGAGGCTAAAGGCATTTGTTTTCTTTTCCCAGAAAGCACTAGTTAATGGATTCTTTGCAACTGCATAAACATGCACAGAAATGACTATGTAGACAAGACAACCTTAGTCAAAGATGCAAGAGCAAAGCACAGTTTTCAACATTGCTTCCATTCCTTATGGAGTTTAACAGAGTTAGGATGTTTGGAGATGAAAAAAGAAAGATAATAAAAGTAGTTTTTTGAAAGAAAGAAAGAAAGAAAGAAAGAAAGAAAGAAAGAAAGAAAGAAAGGTTTTACAATCTGGAGTGCAGACTGTAATCCCAGTTGACCAGGTGATTGAAGGCTAGTCTCTAGAATTTAATCTGAAATACAGCATTCGCCAGAATTTATAAGACCCCCCAGTTTGAGAAAATTCCCTATTTGAGAGCAAACCAAATCCATGGGAGCTGGCAATCTCCAGTTTAAATAATGTGCTGGTCTTGATTTAAAGTGTTCCTAGAGGTGTCCAAATTTGTGTTTTTGCTGTAGTCCAAAAGCACAAATCTTCATCTCTCTCATTCAGACAATCCTCTTATTGACCTGCTGTGATGACTGATACAGGCTGTTAGTAAGGCAAGAAAGAGGATAAGAACAATGCAAGTAGGGTCACTCTGCTCCGGATGCTAGTGACAGTCTGCACATGCTGCCCCCCCCCCGGTAAAGCCTATGACTGAACTGCAATTTGTTGCTGTCTAAAAAGACACTGGACTTGAAAGCCCTTTGCAAGGGCTTTCAAGTCCAGTGTCTTTTTAGCCAGCAACAAACTGCAGTTCAGCCATAGGCTTTATATATATATTCTGAAGATGCTGGCAGTCTCCAGCTGCAACAGACTCCAAAAACCCCACAGAATTGCCTCATTAGGACTGCTGCTTTTGGATTCTTATCACAATGAGGACACGCTGAGCCATCAAAAAACAAATTTCACATTATGCAACAGGGAAAATTATTATTCCTTTGTGGGAAAAGATGCAATCATCACTGGGAACAGAGACTTTAGGCATAACTCCATGAAGGATTTAAACAAGTATAGTCACTGTTCCTTCTTCTGCGGCAAAGATAGTTTTCAAGAGGAGAAGTGGTGGTCACGGGGACAACTCAAGATATTTTGCTGCCTAAGGCAAAAGGCAAAATGATCCAACACACAAAAAACCAACTGGACTGGCAACATTTGCACTGGGACTGCATGGTTAACCACACCTAAAGGCAGTGGGTTACCTCTAGCAGTGTAGAACAAGTTGCATAGCACACAGCTCAGCCTTCTAACACCTCACTGCGGCCCCCAATGGCTGCTGCCTGAGGTAACTGTCTCAATCTGCCTAATGGCAGGCGAAGCCCTGGTCAGTAACCTAATCAAACTAAATTCCTAGGATTTTAGCCTTATGTTCACTGGGAGTTTCAGATAATAATAACCACAATCCCTACTGGTTACTGGTTAATGTCAGACTAAGTTGCTGGAAGCTGTAGTCCAAAACACCTGGAGGTCTCTTGGTCACCTGTCTCTGCTTAGATGCACATATGTCCCCTTGGGCATGGTCTATATAAGTCAAATCCATATTTCACAACAGTGCACAGGCTAGAGTCTTGAAACAGAACTATCTTCCAACTTTGTTGTGGCAGGTGCATGAATAGCCACAGCCAGGACACTATGATAAACTGGAGCTGAGTTTACACTACTACGGTAGATACAGCTTGCTACTGCAACTAAACCAATTTCAAATTCTTGGTAACATATGTACTTATATTCTTTAGGAGGCTCTGATTAGCTAAAGGGCTGTGGACAGATAAGAAGATGACTTGTTAATAACACAATGTTTCAGGCTTTTAAAGGTGAAAATACTAAACCGTAAGGTGATGAATTTCAAGGAGATTTGTGCTCGGCTTTAGACCAGGGGTCCCCAACCCCCTGCCCACAGCCCGGCCATGGCAGGACCAGGCCACAGAGACAGATCTCCTGCCTCCCCACACTCCACCCATGCACACATGACCTCACCCGCATGCATGGGTGTCCCCCACCCGCAAGTGCACCCCCCAATCCATCCATATGAGTGAACGCACCCCGCCCATCTGCGAGCATACCCCATCCGTCCGCAAGTGCACCTCACCCCCCCTAACATGGGGTTGCCCCGCTCCCACTGTGCACGGATCCCATCCCCCCAACCAGTCCGCAGTTCAGAAAAGGTTGGGGACCACTGCTTTAGACAATGGAGTTAGTACAGAAGAACAAGGGATTTCACAGGGCCTCATTTAGGAAACAGTTTTGAAATATCCCACTATGGCTGTTATAGTGTAACAATAAACTAAGGTCTGAATCTACATATTTATGATTTATGGCAGAGATGGCATAAATGCATGCATGCCATTACCTGAGGAGGCAGCTGCAGCCGTGGTACTAGCGCCTGGACAGGAAACGGGGCCAGGAGGTGGAGCAGTTGGTGGTGGCAGGCCGGCTGAGCTACAGGCAGTCATGGGGTTGGGCACGAATGGAGGTCTGCCACCACTGCCGACACCACCACAGCCCCCCTCCCCAGTTTGGGCACTCGGGATCAAAAAGGTTCGCCATCACTGACTTTGGGGGTCAGAAATGGTGATGACATCATTATACAATCAAACATCTACTCTCTCTATTTTAAAACAAGGACTTTTCTGGCTCTAACAGCTATAAAGCAATAAGACATGTCTTTCTCAAGACAAATGAGATTGTGCAATACATAAAATAAAAGGGAAAAAATTCTTACACTAAGTGAGCATCAGAAATTGTGTCAGCCTTGCAATGGTTCGTAAATTTGGTTTCACAAATATTTGTAGACTGGAACAAGAATCCATGACTGTTAGGCACACTGGCAGAGAATTTTGAGAGTTGTGGTTCAACCACATCTGAGAACCCAAGGTTGGGAACCACCAGAGTATTATCCTGCATACTTTCTATCCTTGCAATGTAAAAAACAAACAACAAACAACCCCAAATGCCTGCATCTCACTCATTGTGGAAATGCAGAAGGTATGCTTGCATTAGGAATTCACACATATCTCTTTAGTGAGAGGGGGGGAGAAATTGCTTGTTTCCAAAATCTCTATCAGCTATTGAAGAGATGTGATATTGTAAACTAGTTTGAAAAGAGGTTATTTTTCCCCTTTCCCACACTGTGCAACCAGCAAGGCATAGGATTGCAGTTCCTTGGGGCTACACTTCAATTCAGGAGAGCCCATCAGAGCAGGCATACAAAACAAGCAAACATGCCCAACCAAAATGGCAAAAAACAAACAAAAAACAAACAAATAAAAACAATAGTAATTGGGGAAATAATAATACATATATAGCTTTTGACACAGACTGGCAATGGCTCTCCAAGATTTCAAACATGATTTTTAACTAGACCTGCCAGTTGGATCCAGGGACTGAACCTCCAACCTGTTGCATGCCAAGCAGATACGATGGCCCTTCCCTAATTAACTCCCACAAGTCCTAATTCAAAGGCAATGGCCTGATACATAGTCCCAAAACAATGGTTCTGAAAGGAGTTATTGTGCTGATAAATAACTCTGGAATAAAAATAGCCAATCTGCTGGCCAATTTACAATACACCTAACTTGGTTTTGAGAGAACCCTCATTGCTAGATAAACTGTACTCAGGCCT